CTATGTTTGCCACCTCCCCAGATGTGTGCTTGATATGACCTGCCAATCTAGAGGCCAGCAGAGGAAGGAATAATGGTTGTTGGTAGTAAGCCAAACAGGCTATTTGTCCACACACAAAGGTTTCGACCTCATTGCATTTGTAATAGTTCCCAGAAATGTTATTTCTACACAGCCTCTCTTGGCTTCAGCTGTACGTTAAACACACAGCCACTTGTGGTTTGATCCTAAGAGATGCTGAAAATTCAAGAGAGCTTGGAGGAGGATTATGATTTATATAAAAGCGTCAGTCTTAGTGTTTGGAGAACCAACTATTCTGCCAAGGTTTATGTGAAATATGCCGAAGCACCACTAATTGATGGATTTGCCTTCTCTCTCTTCTTACTTTTTTTCTTTCTCAATCCTTACTTTCTTTTCTCATTTATTTGGTCTTCTGACACTTTTGTAGCCATTACTAAATTAACTAACTCTTTGGAAAGATTGCTTAATGTCTGAAAATCATCTTTATCCTCCCAATGAGAAAGACGAAAGAGCGTTGCCCCCAGGTCACTGGACAGTTAACTGGAATATAGTACTGTTTCCTTTTACCCAACCTTGGTTAGAAATCACCATCTTTATCATTTTTAATGATATATTCTTTCCAAATGGTTATGGTAGACCATTCCACCTCCATGTCCAAATCTGTACAATATAGCAGGCCACAGGCAGTCACTACCAGAGGAACTTTTCAAATAACTACTGATTATCAACACTGAATGTTTTTCTTCAATGTGTCACATTTATGAAGGGTAAATGTAGCAAGCTAATTATCCAAGGGTACCAAAGAAAAAGGCTTAGGTATTATCAGACTTACATATGGTTAAATTGGCCCCTCTCTTAAAAGTGATACTAAATTCTGAGGTGCCAAAGTTCATATTTCCATAGTACAATATATATGTGGATTTAAGGTTGCAGATTAAAGTTGCTGAAACCTCTCAGTATGATATGGGGATTCCTTTGACATCCAAATATGAATTTGACTCAGATTGAGGTTATTAAAATGAGTGGGGAAAGAAAGGATTCTTAGCTGGGTCATATGTAGAGGTAATGCCCATGCCCATATTTGGCAAGCATTTTAGAAGGTTTCTGACATCTCTGTTAAGCTCTCCTATCTTCTTGGAGAAGTCATCTATAACTGTAGATTCATCTATTACTTATAAGCAGATAACCCAGCTATTTTCCTATCTCAACTTTTATCTGTACTTCCTTCTCATTTCTCCAACTGTTATATATTTCCTCCTTGATGTTCTCTGTGTCCTTGATATCTCAAATAGAATTGTTCATCTCCTTTGACAAATTAAAGACTAGTCTAACTAACCCACATGCTCATCCACTGAGCCACCCAAGTGTCCCCCTCTTTCTACATCTTCTGGGCATCAGTATTTTCCAAGATATTCTCTCTCACAAGCTCTTGGTCATCACAGATTCCCTTCCTCTTTCTCTTACAGAATATAGAAGCCTTATTTTATTAGTTCTTCCTTCACAGGCTTTCACTTTTACTTCATGACCCTGATCCCTTCCTGCATGCACTATTGAGATAAGATAACCTTGTCACACTGGTTTCCTGCCCAGAGCTCTCCTCTGCTCCATTCTAATTCATAATCCACAGAAATAGCCTGAGACCAACTGAGAATGATTGAATACAACTTGTTAGGTAAAAAGTGGGGCCAAAAATAGGCTCTAAAAAGCTTAAGCCAAAGTTTTTATTGGAATTCCTCTCCCATATGTCACATGAAAGAGGAATTGGATGATTTCTTGGTCCAAGAAAACAGCCATTGAGTGGACAGTAAGAGGGAGCAAATTTTAGACTCATTAGAAGAGCCTTCCATGGATTCAAGCTGTAGTACAGTGGAACAGTACAAGTAGTATATGAGAATGGGTTCTTTGTCCTAGATAATCACTTCTCAGTCATGTTGTAACAAGCTTACATGCTTTAGACTACGTGGCCCTTCAGGTGTTTTCAAATTCCAAATTTTTGCAACAGAAACACAGCTCTTTCCATCTGTCCATCTGCCTCCCACCTACTGGGAATCCAGAGTCTATTCTTGCTGTCCCATACTTCCCTCATTCCAAATCTTACAGTGAATGAATGAACATGCTCTCCTTCAGGATGTTCCCCTGCTGACATCATCCCATGGCTTTTTCAGTCTAGGTTGTTGCTACTTTGGGCCTTTTATATAACCTGAAGGGTAAATTTGCTTATTGGATATCTTTTATCTATCTCCAGCATTTTTCCTAATTTGACTAGTACAGTGTACCCTGAATACTGTGGGTTTGAGGTTCTTTTTTAACCAGCTTCAAAGCTGGGGAAACCTAATATCTTATAAGTGGTAGGTGACACAGCTGAAACTGAACCAGGGTTTTCTAACTCCAAGTTCTGAGTTCTGGGGAAAAGAGACAAAAGGAAGGAATGGAGGAATAAAAGGCCCCTCAACTAAGGAGAGTTCAGGATAGGAAGGGTGTTCACAAGGAACCCTACATATTGAAAAAGTACATCTGGCATTTTTATCTCAGTAAATATTAAAGTATACATGTTGCCAGCAAAACTTATAAATTCTGATGTTTAAAGTAGCTATTGGGAGCAAACAAAGAGAAAAGAGGTAACTATAATATATTTGATTAAAACATAAAAGAACACTAATTATAGTGCATTTGTATTATGTGCCTAGTAATCATGTAATATAGTAACAAGTATTTATGTCCTTCGGTGTGTATTAGATTAGCATTGCATGAATTATTAATTTTATCATTATTATGTTTTGGTATACCTAGCTTCTATATAGCAAGCTATCTAATCACATTTTTTAAAAAATCAGAAATGCTAATAGTGAAGTACTAATAGGATGAGTTTGGAGTGGTAAGTAAAAGGCACAGACATGCCCAGCACCGTGTGTTGCCATAATAAATGTTTATTGGATCTGAGTCTAGCATCTGTACCAGGAATTAAATGAAAAGTCATGTCATTATTTTGTTTTATTCCCTAATATAAGTAATCACCAAAACTTTCAAAATCACATACCCTTTGATATAGTAATTCCACTTTTAGGATTCTAGACTCATGCATAATTTAATCAACCATCCCCTATTGTCTATGATTCCATATTTGTGAACTGAAAATGAAATTAGAAGAGAACTGAGAGTTGTTGAATGCCCAACACTTTAGATTTACTTGCTTAATCATCAGTTAATCCTGGGAAGTAGATGTTACCTCTTTTAAGAATAAGAAAACTGTGGTTCCTGGGTGGTTCAGTTAGTTGAGCTTCCAACTCTTGATTTCAGCCCAAAGCCATAGTCTCAGGGTTGTGAGATCAAGCCCTGCATCACACTCCACACTTAGTGCAGAGTCTGCTGGAGATTCTGTCTCTCCCTCTCCCTTTGCTCCTCCCCCCACCCATCTCTTTGTCTCTGCTTTCTCTCTCTTTCTCAAAAAAATAAATGAATCTTTAAAAAAAGAATAAGACAAGGGGCTCCTGGGTAGCTCAGTCAATAAAGTGGCTGACTTGATTTCAGCTCAGGTCATGATCTCAGGGTTGTGAGATCAAGTCCAATGTCAATCTCCTCACTCAGTGTGAAGTCTGCTTGAGATTCTCTCCCTCTCCCTCTAATGCTCTCTCTCTCTCTCTTAAATAAATAAATAAATAAATAAATAAATAAATAAATAAATAAATAAAATCTTTAAAAAAAAATTAGCCATTCTACTACATCACATATTGGTATGGGGATTTGGCATTAAAAAGAATTTTCACAGAATTCTTTTTTAAAAAAGATTTTATTTATTTATTCATGAGAGACACACAGAGAGAGAGTCAGAGACATAGGCAGAGGGAGAAGAAGGTTCCATGCAGGGAGCCCGAGCCCAATGTGGGACTTGATCCCAGAATTCCTGGATCATGCCCTGAGCCGAAGGCAGATGCTCAACCACTGAGCCACCCAGCCACATAGTTCTATAATATGTACTGATAGGTTGGTGTCTTATTAAAAATGAAATAGTCTATCATTAGCCATCAGCTGAGGAGACTTGAGTGGGTTGGTAAAGGCACCCAGGAGTCATAGGCATTTATTTTAATTCAACTGATTTAATCAGAAAGTTTGTAAAGATGGGGGAGGATTTGAGATGATAAAGGTCACCTAAACCTGGAAAGAGTCTCAGCTTAGTCTTAGAGTAAGGATTCACAAAGAGGGGTCTCACAAAGCCAGATGGACCTGTTTGGTCAAATGTTCACAACATTGTATCAGCACAACTTGATGTTACACTTAAGCAACCTAATAAAACCCACACCACTACAGCCAGTAAATGCTGAACTTGTTATTATTTTTAGGAGAGAGAGAGCTTCTAGACTTAATCTGTCTAATTTTTTGTTTGTTCATTTATTCATCCATTCATTTATTCTGGAGGTGGTAGGAGAAGATTGTAAGTATTCTGGAGGTGGTAGGAGAAGATTGACTGTAAGGTGAACTGGAGATGAAAACTTTGAGACCGACTCACTACACTAACTCAGATTTTTGTGGTTATGATTTGTTTTCTCATTGAAAGGTGTGGAAACCTATAAAAATACTTGAATATTCTTTCTAAATCTCTCTAATACCTTCATTACTTTAAGGTTGGGATAGGGGTGGTATGGGATGGGTGTTAAATAACTCTTCCTAAGGGAAAAAAACTAAGCTTTTCCCCATTACTTACTTTGTATTACAGATTCCTGTCACCTCCTATAGAGCAAGCAATGCAGTTTCATGTGACAATGGTTGAAAAAAATCACAATATAGGCCATAAATGGAGGTAGAAATGAAGAAGATACAAAAGCATATTACTTGTTTGAAAAGCACCCAGGATCAAAACTTTTTAAGATGTAAAAGCCCAGGTGAACTCTGAGCTGTTTCTTCAGGCAACAGAGACCTCTGGCTAGCAAAGTATATTGGTAGTCTCCTCAAGATTTTACCTGATTCTTATTTTATTTTTATTCCAGTTGCTACATTGATGGCCGAGTGGTCAAGGTGATGGACTTCCTGAAAACTCGCCTGTTAGACACACTCTCTGACCAGATTAGGAAAATTCAGAAAGTGAGTAAAAGTCCCCTGGGATGAAGGAATGAGTTTGGGGATAAGGCAAGGAAAAGGTCTCTGGTCCCAGCTGGATGTCAGCCCTTTGGGAACCAGGGTAGAAAAAGAGTATAGTCCAAAGCTCCCTTTCACAGCTGATGGTTGTTGCTTATTGTTTTTCAAATTGAGAACCATTTGAATGGGCTATGTCCAGGTTTAAAAGCTTCTATATTTTAATAACAACTACTTTGTCCTAGTTTGCTTCTGAATTGTGAGTTTCTTAAGGGAAGGGTAGGTTTACTTTGGTTTTTTTTTTTTTTTTTTTTTTTTTTGCAAGGGTTTATTTGGAGCTAGTTTAAGGAAGGAATGATTATATTTATTCAGTGAAATTCTGGTCTGGGGCATCAGCCATGTTTAAACTATTCTAAAAAGTGTTAAATAGCTACACCATATTTATACTATTCCTAGGTGTCTTAGAATCTGTCAACTAACATCTTACTTTTGTAGAAATGTGGGAGAAACTATATTATATTAAGCAGTTGCATGTAGGTCCCATTAGCAAAACACCTTTGGTCAACAATTCTCAAACTTGAGTGCAATCAAAATCATCAGATGTCGCTCATAAAGTCTGCAAAATCACTCTGATGTTCTGATTTAGTATGTCTAGAGTGGATCCCAGACAGCTCTATTTTTAGAAGTCATGTGTCAAGTGATTCTACTGAATGCAAATCACATTTTGAAATACAATGGATTACTTAATTTTGAATTGTGATGATCTTCTGTCTGTAATTTCCACCTGCCTCTACAAAATGATATCCCATCTTTTGTTGCTTAGTCAGGACAGTTTTCTAGGAAAGGGGGACCTTTTGAACACTCACCTATGTCTTGAGCAATTTAAACAAGTCTTTGCAGAAAAATTGCAAAGGGGAGATCCCCATTAATATGGAATTAATGAATAAATGAATGGACAAGTGAATAAATGGATCATGTATAAAATGAGCTGTGAAAGAAAATCATATTTGGAGTAATCATAAAAAAGCACTCTTGATTGGTAAAGTGGTACCTTTTTGTATTCAAACCAATGTCCTGCTCAGATTACAAAAGCTTTTTGAGTCCCCATGTTCTCAAAGAGTATTAGCAGCTGGGAAGCCTTAGGACTTCTGGACTCCTGCATCCCAGTTTGATCCCTCTGGGGATCAGGTGCATTGGTCAGCATCCTTATCTGTCACTGCCTCCTACCAGGCAAAGTCTAGGAGAACTAAATAATTTGAAATATCTCTGCCAGTCTCTGTTTGACATTCATTTAGTTTTTAATATTTAAATATTTCATATATACTGAGCACTTAGCAAGTACCAGGCAAAGTGCCAGGTGCTGGGGATACAAAATAGAATAAGGCATGGTCTCTGCCCTCAAGCAACTCACAGTTTTAAAGTTTAACAGTTGCTTTAAGCAGGCTGAAAAACATTACTTACGGTAGTTGAATATCAACCTATTGAACAATGTAAAGCACTTTATGCTAATCTGATATTTAGGTATCATTTTCTAGAAGGAGGGAGGAAATTTCTTTCATTCATCATTCATTTGTTTTTCCAACCAACAGATATTTACTGAGTATATACTAGGTTCCAGGCACTATGCTAAATGCTTGTATTACAAGAGTGTAGAAGATAGACAAGTCCCTGTATTTTTGACTTTTCTGATTTCAAATTGAATGACTTGATCAAGGGCTGCCATTGGAAATAAAATGATTTAGTGGTATCATGGCACTGAGAGTAAAAGTTCTAGCTGTGCTCATTACTTATTTAAGTAAAACATATAATTCTAGGTCAGAACTAGACAGAGGTGTTGGGAGTCAGGTTCTTCCCTTTCTCTGCACTACCCACCTCCCTCCACCACTGAATACTTCTTAACCACCACAGAATATTCAAAGACTGAAATAAGTGGCTAAGCTCATCTTCTAATTTGTCCAGGCAGAGCCAAAGAACCTTAAAGAAAATGGCTCAAACCCCATGCACAACTGAGGTTCAGATTCAGACCTTTTAACATGTCTACTGGACTTGGAATGGAGGGCCAAGTGCAATTGCAGGGAGGAATAGTGAGTCTTTTTCTTTTAAGATTTTATTTATTTATTCATGAAAGACACACAGAGAGAGGCAGAGACATAGGCAGAGGGAGAAGCAGGCTCCCTGCCTGGAGCCTGATGTGGGACTCAGTCCCTGAATCCCAGGATCACACCTTGAGCCAAAGGCTCAACCGCTGAGCCACCCAGGCATCCTAGGAACAGTGAGTCTTTAAGAGAAATGACCTTTATGAAGAAGTACCTGGCAGGGGATAGTTAGAATTAGCAGTAGGATCTGATCTTACCTTTGGCTGTTGCAGATAGAACATGCCAGAGGTCTCCTCAGGCCTAGGTTTCTGTTCTGGTTACGACTTCCTATACAACAAATTACCCCAAAACTTAGTGACATTAAACAACTATTTACCACGCCCTTAGATTGTATGTGTCAGGAATCCCCACTGGGAGCTATGGGGACGGCTCATCTTTGCTCCATGATGTCTGAAGCTTCATGGCTGGGAAGACTTAAAGGCTGGGATGACTCAAAGACTGGTGACTGGAATCACAAGACTTGTTCATTCACAGGTCTGGTAGTTGATGTCAGCTGTCAGCTTGCACCGTTATTGGGCTGATAACTGGAATACCAACACATGAACTTTCTAAGTAGCCTGGGTTTCCTTCCAAGGTTCAAAAGTCAGATGCCCAAGGACAAGAGTCAGGTGGAAGCTGTACCACCTTTTCTAACCTACCCTCAAAAGTCCAGGGACACCTGGGTGGCTCAATGGTTGAGCATTTGTTTTTGGCTCAGGTTGTGATACTGGGGTCCTGAGATTGAGTCCCACATCAAGCTCCCCTCAGTGAATCTGCTTCTTCCTCTGCCTATGTCTCTGCCTCTCTCTGTGTGTCTCTCATGAATAAATAAATAAAAACCTTAAAAAAAAAAAAGTCAGAGGGCTTCACTTCACCCACAGTCTAGTCCTTGAGATAGTCATCAAGACCAATTGAGAGTCAAGGAGAGAAGAAATAAACTCCTTTTGATTAGCAAGATTCTGGAAGAGCATTTAGGACCAGAATGATTTTTACAGTCATCTTTGAAAATACTGTCTGCCACAGTTTCATCCTCCCTATATCATTTAGTAGCCCTTCCATCATTTTCCTGTCTAGTTTTCTTTTTTTCAACTCTCCTTTACAAAGCTCTTGCCAGATATTGCCTTAAATGGGTATCTGCTGGAGTTGTTGCTGGATTATAGATTCCCTGGGATTTGATTTATGGGTAGGCTTTCCATTGGCTGCACAGCCTGAACACCCAGTTGCTAAGGCCTCCAGGATGAGAATCTCTCTTACCACAGCCAGGATGCGCTAGGCACCAGTCTGCTCTGGGGAGATGGGGACTGGGAAATAAGAGAAAGTTCACCATGTTTTGCCAGTTAAAAAATTACTTTGACTATTTCTGAGGTCCTCTGTGGGTGAGAAGATGGTCCGGGGAATTAGAGTCCAAGGTATATACTGGGATAGACTGGCCAAACTTCTTTTCTACAAGCTTCCAAACCAGTTTAGAGATGGACCAAATAAGATTTTAATATGTATATATGTAGAAACCTCATCCAAAAGCTAAAAGTAGAATCTTTGTTTCTACTCTATTTTGAAAAGCTCACAGAAATTATGATGATCCCCCTTAGACCTACAGTGAGAAAACGTACAGATTTCCTACCAAAATCAATTCATGAAGGAGTGGTTAGATAAATCAGTGTTAAGACTGTTTTTGATTAAGAGATAGAATACAGGATTTGAAGTCTGATGGCTTGGGTTGGAGCTCAGGCTTAGCTGTGTAACCTTCAGTTATTCACTTAACCTCTCTAACTTTGTTTCTTTATCTGTAAAATGAGGGTGCTAAGAATACTATCATCTTTCTCTTTTACAGAGATTAGAAAAGTCACATGAGCCCCTGTCTTCTTAATTGCTATTGAATGCTAGTACTTATTGCTATTATTATTGTTTTTTCAATTATTATAGTTTATTTCTTTTCTTTTTATTTTTATTCCAGTATAAATATGGAACACTTTACAAATTTGCATGTCATCCTTTTGCAGGAGCCATGCTTCTTTGTTTCATTCCAATTTTAGTGTATGTGCTGCTGAAGCAAGCACTGTTATAGTTATTTTTAATAATAATTTATATGACTGGAAAAGCTTCCTGCTACCTTTATCCTCAACTTGTTCTTTGCTTTTTTCCTCTTTCCTCTTTCTTTGAACCCTGGGGAATATGGTAGGTGATATTTTTGGCATCTGAAAGGCAGTGACTCAATTGCTAAAAACAGCTGCGGTTTTCGAATTTGGACTGCCACGTAAAGAAGAATTCTGAGATTTCTGAGCAGTGGGCAAATTTTTGTTATATGAAAATCTACATTATGTGTTTGAAAGCCAGAAAGAGACAATGTTTAAACAAGCCACCCCTTTGGATGATCTACACATTCTCTCCCTTCCGTTAGAATAAGGATAATCATCTGTACTTTGGGAGATGAGTCAGGGGAAAGAGTTGAGAGTCTAACAATGTAAGCAAGAGTCAGATGGGAAAGTGAGAGATGTTTAGGATGCAGTGCAGATGGTATAGTGTGGATACCTGGGATGACTCCAAAACAATGACATAAGAACCAAGAGGAACCCCTTTGGCTTAAGTCACTTGGACTCTATGATTTGTGTCTTCATCTCCTAGAGGAATCAGAGGAGGAAATAACACTTTTTGATATTATTTTCAGCTATTCAATAAGCATAGGAAGGAGTTGGTGAAATCCTAGTCATAAGGAAAGTAGTTCCAAAAGTACTATCCATACGATTGCATTTTGAATACTAAATAAACTGAACAATTGGCTTCCCCAATATTTGAAAAATTTCTTCCTTCTCTCTTCCTTTCTTTCCTTCACTTATCAACTGTTTATAACATTCTTAGTATTTTCCAGACCCCTGAGGATAAAATGGTGAGCAAGACTTGCATGATGGTGGTCCTCATAGATCCTGTGGTCTAGTGGAAAAACAGTTAATGAAGCAAGCCATGATAAGAGTGATGACTTTTATAATAGGGATGTATAGGGAGATCTATGAAGGCTCACATCCACTCCATGTGAGCCCATGATGGAAATATCTACCTTCATGTATAAAAGAAGGGAAAACAGGGAGATCCTTCCAGAGGAAGTGACATTTAGGTCAATACCGAAAGGACAGACACCTTCTAATTTATTCAGTTTCGAGGATGAGAACAGAGGACTAGCAGTGTTAAATATATATGGTGGAGAGAATGGTTTATATGATTCATATTAGGACCATGATTGTTCTTTTGTTAATATCATCATTGCTTACGATTTTTTAAAAAATATTTTATTACTTTGAGAGAGAGAAAGCACAAGCAAGAGAAATCACAGGCAGGGAGGGGGCAGAGGGAGAAGCAGACTGCCCGGGCTCGATCCCAGGACCCTGAGACCATGACTGAGCCAAAGGCAGATGCTTAACTTACTGAGCCACCCAGGCACCCCTATTGCTTACGATTGATTACAATATTTAATAAAGATGAACTCTTTTGAGGCCTCTTTTTCCAGTATATGTTGGTTACAGGATCAAGGAAGTAGGTAAGGCAGAAGAATTTTTAATCCTTTTGAAGTAATTAGTAGGTCAAAAAAGACCTATTTGGTCTCAACCAACCTTCTGGTTTGAGCCTCTTAGGACATTAAAGGGGAAGGGGATAAAAAATAGCAGCTATTCTTGAGGATCATAGAATACCTAGCAGCCCAACTAAGGAAAAATGGGGACAATGATAACATTAATCTTCTCTGAATGAAGAAAACTGGAAAATGAGAATGACATTACTAGGGTAAGAACAGTAGCATTACCACAAAAATCAGTGTTTGGTTCTTCTATTCATTGAGCAATGTTAAAGGCTCATTTCTGTGTGCTAGTACCTATTTACCATAATGCCTATCATTTGGCAGGGTCTTAATAAATGTTAGTGGGAGGAGAACAGACAGGAAAGGGAAGGTAAATGAGCAGAGTAAAATAGTGGAAGTGTAAGAGAAGTAGTGTCTTTGTCTCATTCACATTTGGATCTGCTATCTCAGCTGTTCGCATGCAGAAGAACCTAATCTGCTGCTAACTGTGTAGCATAGTGCTGAATAGTTGGAAATTGATTTTGTGCCTACATGTAGGCAGAGTAGGAGAGTGTCTTCTGGGTATGTGTTTAGGGGTGAATGAAGAAGAGTTTCTTTGTGGTTCAAAATAACATTTCAGTCTGTTTGCTAATGCTAGATATTTCATTTGAAAAAAAAATAACCTCTCATTCTATATTAGGAGGAGGATGCAAAATATAAAAAACCTCAGAAGAGTTAAATCACACTGGTTCAAAGTCACACTAAGGTGTTAATATCAAACAAAAATCCTTTCCCAAGAGCAGCTTTTGATGGAGAGGAGGAGAAACAGGGGACAAGGATGTACTCAGAAGAGGCAGAGTACCAAACACAAACAGTGCCACAGGAACACCTGTGATGACATCTCTGAGTATTCTAAGTTTTATGGAGATAGAAGCTCTTACAATGGCGACCTCTTTAATAAAAACAAAATAAATTTGCACGTTTTAGAAACTTATCTGACCACATGAACACAGTACTAGGGCCTTTCCCAGGACACCAGCAAAGGCTTGTGAGAGTGGGAAGCTGAAAGTTTGAGCTTCATGAGCTTCCCAGTAAATGAGCTTCTGTGACACCACTTGGCTGTGTATCTGCAAATGGGACAGTATGACCCAAGGGATCTTCAGCTCTTTTCTTTCATATAGAAGACACTAATAATAAATAGGGGAATCTAGCTAGAAAGGTACATTTACCACAAAAGAGCTTCAAAGTTTTAGTTGTTGGGATCTTAGGAACAGTATCTCCTTGATTGTTAAACACAAATAATTTTTAAATGTACCATAAATTTAATAGCAGCTTAGTGGGGGAGATAGGAGATAGGGTAAAGAGCTGACAAGTTTCTTTTGATATGGACCTTGAAAAACATTCTGATTTCAAAACGATTAAAATGTGGAAAATGCATCATTAACTTACAGAAATATAGTAACCATATTATCTTTTAGGTTACAAATGCCATTTATTGAGTGCATCAGATTTTGCTAACCCATTGAAGAAACCAGTTATTTGCTCAAGGCCACCAGTAGGTAAAATCAGAATTCCAGGCCAGACCCACTGAACTCCAGAGCCCGCACTCTCACCCCATACACTCTTCTGCATCTGCCATACTTATTAGCCATTTGTTTTATAGCCCATATAATATCTATGTTCCTAATCACTGAAAATCAGGAAGACTTTTAAAGAATACAAATGTCCATGGTGAAAGAACATCAATTTGACCCCATGATCAGTTCATATCATCTGGGGTGGGTGTCCTAGATGAATTAAATGAAAGCCGTATACCCCAATGTTGGGTAATGTCTAATATTAGCACAGTATTAGACACTGGAAGAGGACAGGGCTTTTCAGGGTGTGATTTGCATCCATTCACTGGGCTACATTCTTCTATCTCATGTGCACAGGCTTTTGGTCAATGCACAGTGAAGTCTAGTTATGTGCAAGACAATGACAATATGAGGATATGTGCTGCCTATGGATACTTAGAGAAATGGCCCTGGGAATAAATTGTGGTTTGGGGCAAAAGCTCCTTCGGGAGGAAGAGGCAACTTGCATGACCTTCCAATTTTCCACATGGAAGTGGGAGGATTATAGGGTTTGTCCTGAGTGAGAGGAAATTATTTCTGAGGCTGATAAAGCCTATAACTTGTCAGTGGGGAGACTGTCCAGTTAAGCCTGGGGATTGGTTCTTCATGGAAAAGAACTGGGAAGGAAGAGTCATTCTTTTGCGTCCAGTCTCTCCCTCTACTAGCACTTATCCTTGAACATAGCCTTTGCTTTGAGATTCTGTGAAATCTACTTCATCTTCTTGCATATGCTAACACTTTCCTTGCCTCCCCTATGACTTTATCTTTTTAGTGTATGCTCTTATTTTAATTTTATGTTTGTTGCAATTACATACAGCTGCTTTTCTGTGGTTGGAGATAACAAGAATAGAATGCAATTTTAAATCCTAAAAATGTCACAGAAACAGAAACCACAAATTAAAAATTGATCTGATACCAAAAGAAAATGGGTAAATATGGCATTCCGGAATAGGGAGATGATAAAAAGAAATTATACAGGAAAAAAAAAACTAATGAAACTGACAGGAAGTACATCAGACAGAAGAAATAAATCAGGAAGAATGTGATGAGATATTAGAATGGCTGAGCTCAGAATAGCCCAGTTTGTCTAACCTGAGAAGGACATACTAAATACGGAGGCAGGTTAGTCACCCAGAAGCTTCTAGGTCTCTTCAAATGAGAAAATTCGATTAGAAAGTAGATTGAACCCTGAACTGGAATTCTAACAATTTGGTATTTGCTCTTATGGTTTTGAGGTTATTAGGTATCTTTACTGAAACTTGGCCTTTTCATCAGTAAAATATCATCCCCCTCATTTATTAACAAATAAGTTATTTCATTATTGTATTATTTGACAAGTATTTAATAAGCAAAGTAACTGTCAAGTGACATGTCAGATTCTTAGATATTTCTACAAGGCAGGTAAAAAGAGAAAAAAAATGTGACCTTCTCAAGCTATTTATAGTATAGCATGGAAGACAGATAGGCAAGCAGAAAATTACAATTTAGTTTAATAAGGTCAAGGTCAGAGATAAGTTTGAAGAACTTTGGAACCCAGAGGAGAGATGAATTAATTTTCTAAAGATTTGAGGAAAGTTTCACAGGGGAGGTAACATTTTAAATAAGCCAGAAAAAAAAATGAGACAATGTGGATGAGGCATGGGTAGGAGAGGAGGCAATCAGTTAAAACCTAAAGGAAGGTCTATAGTTGGAAAATAGTAAGTCCACTCTGTGTGGTGAACCATAGGTCTTGTGGGGAGGGAGGAAGAAGAGGCCGCTCAGGGTCCTTGTGAAAGATCTAAGATACCAAGTTAAATGAAGGCAGCTGGCATGTATTCTGAGGGCTGGTGGTTCTCATCGTCATTCCACCACATCTAACATACTTCCATGAACAAATCAGTAAAACAGACTAGGGATT